TCTTTTCCTCTCCAATTTTCTAGCCTCATGACCAATCCAGTGTTGTAGCCACATCAAATTCCTTACTGGTCCCACACAGATCCTGACCTTTTTTTTTTTACCTTTGTGCTTCTGCTCTTGTTTTCTCTCTGCCTGGAATGCCTTCCCCTGTCTACCTGGTGAACTCCTGCTCATCTTTCAAAACAGAGCTCAGATGTCCCCTCTTCCGTGAAACCTTTTCCAATATCCCCTGCCCCTCACTTTGCTCTCTGCTTCCATAGCACATGTGTCTTATAGAGCTTGCAATTCTGTTACAGTTTTTTTTCCCTGTTACAATTATTTATTAACTCTTTTGCCTCTCTGTAAGACTATGCCCTTAAGAGGGCTAAGGATCAAGTCTTACTGGTATTTTTAGAGTGTTTGGAAAGAATCTGGAGGAGGCTAGAAAGATGACAGGTAGAAAGTTTAACCTTGCAAAAAGAACTACTTCTGAAACACAAGGGAAGGAATTGAAGATGAGTAATTGTGTAGCAAGAATCTTTAAAGATAATAGGGAAGGTGCCAAATCTCAAGGGGAAGTCTGGCTTGGGGGCGAAAGAGGACAGGAAGGAGATGGGGAGGAGAGAGAAGAGGTAGTTCTGGTGCAGTCTGAGAGACTGAGCCTCCTTCTTCCAAATGTGTGAGGTCTCAGGGCGGACTCAGTGCCCGGGTTGGTAAGTAGTAGTTCTGGGGTCTGCAGGAACAGCCTGTCTTCACCTTGGGAGTTTTTCAATCCAGTAGGAAGAAGCGGGCTCCTCCAGCTGGAGGGAAGAGGGAAGAGGGAAGAGAAAAGAGGAGAGGTTTACAATGATGTGAATGAGTGCTGACGAGATGTGGTATGGACCATGGAGAGTTACCTACGTAGACACACTCTGAGAAGGACGGCAGGGAATTTTGGCAGCAATGCAGTCCTCAGAAATATGACAGGAGGGGCAGAGCAGAAGCAGCTAGAGAGGAACCACTGGTAGGCATGGCCACACTGCTGTCTGTTCCATTTGGCATCCCTTGGTGGTCTGTGGTACAGGTAAGGGCAACACGTGACACTTGGGCTTGTTCTAGTCAAGGCTGTCACACTAAGCTTCTTGGGTTGTTTTATAACTTACAAAGCAGCCTTGCCAACCATTTTCAGGTGACACTTCAAAGACAACAAACCAATGTCTCGGTTAGTATACTTTGATGCAAACAACAGAATTTGTGAGTAATTTAAGAAAAAGGGAAATTTACTGAAAGGATACAAATTGTTAATAGGAAAGTTGGAGAGTTGGCTATGGAAAATCGGTGGTAACTTAGAAAGGCCAGGCAGCAGGCACCACAACCAAGGTCATACCTCAGGAACCATTTCGCATGGCCACCATCCATGGTAGGGGCACCAATCTGCAATCCCCAACTTGCAATGGACCCACTATATTTGAAAACCTCCTGCCTCTGTTGCTCTGAATAATTCCAAATCTGTCAGTAGGTCTTTGCATCATTTTCTGAAGATTCAAAGTTCAAAGAGGAATGGCCAGGTGGCTAAGCCTAGGTCATATGTCATGTTCTGGCTGCTAGGGGACAGGAAGAAGAGTATCTCCCTGCTTCAGCTTCCCTGGTCTCAGCAATACTGCATTCCCCAAAATAGAAAGGTTTGGGTTCTGATGGTAAACTAAACAAAACAAAATGTCTACCATGTCCATCTTTTAGACGTTTTTCCTTTCTAGTTATTCTGTCATTCTGTTTTTGTCAATTATGATCATAATCTCAGGCTCCTAGGCTTGACACTTTAGAATCATCCTCATCTCCCTCATTTTCCCACATGGTGAATAACTCTCCAGATTTCTTAGATTTGCCTTGCCTTCTGTCACTGCTGCTGCTTTAGTAAGACGACTTTGGCAACAGGAACACAAAGGAGGAGGGAAGGGGCTGGAAATTGGGAGTCAGACTTCTAGCAGGTTAGAACTAGATGACACCTTTGAATTGATCTGTTGTAGCGGTCTCATCTGGGAGCATTCATTAGAATTCTTATGACATTAATAAAATAACACATGCTGGCATCCCACTGTCAGTTTTTGGGTTCAGTAGATCTGAGGTGGGACTTTGGCATATGTGTGAATGTGTGTGTGTGTGTGTGTGTGTGTGTGTGTGTGTGTGTCTTTGTGAGATGCATCCTAGGTTGAGAACTGCAGAATTCCAATACCCTTGCTTTTTTTTGTTTTTGTTACTCCTCACCTGAGGATATTTTTTTCTATTGATTTTGAGAGAGAGTGTAAGGGAGGGAGAGAAACATCGATGTAGAGAAACACATTGATTGGTTGCCTCTTGCATGCCCTGAGTGGGGACAGCTGGGGATTAAACCTGCAACCCAGGTATGTGCCCTTGACTGGGAAGCGAACCCAAGACCTTTTGGTGTGCAGGCCGACACTCTAACCACTGAGCCACACTGGCCAGGGTCTTAAAGATGAAGAAACTGAGCCCTGGCCAGTTTGGCTCAGCAATTAGAACGTCGGCCTTCAGACCATAGTTCCAGGTTTGGTTCCCGCTAAGGGCATGTGCCTCGGTTGCAGTTTGTCCCCAGCCCCTGTTGGGGTCGTGTGGGTGGCAACCAGTCAGTGTGTCTCTCTCACCTCCATGTTTCTCTCTCTCTTCCTTCCTCTCTCCCTCCTTCTCTATCTGAAGATAAATGCAAAAATGTCCTTGGGTGAGGATAAAAACAAAAACAAAAACAAAAAAACATAAGGAGACTGAGGCCCAGAGAAAAAAGTTACCTGTTTGAAATTACACACAATGAATTAAGAAAGAGGTAAAGGATGCCTGGCTGGTGTGGCTCAGTGGATTGAGTGTCAGTCCCATGGACTGAGAGGTCCCAGTTCAGTTCCCGTTCAGGGCACATGTCCGGGTTGCAGGCTCAATCCTTAGGGGGAGTGCAGGAGGCAGCTGATGGATGTTTCTCTCTTACACTGAAGTCTCTCCCTTCCTCTCTCTCTAAAAAAAATCAATAAAAACATATTTTTAAAAAGGGATGGGGGGGGGGGCAGGACCAATCTCAGATCTCCTGGCTTTTGGTACAGTGCTATTCAGACCTCTTGCTTTTTCCCTCTGCAAAAGGACATTTCCTGTCTTTATTTGTATCCAAAAAAAATACTACACTTCTGTGGTTCAGCTCCTCCAACAGTAAATAGGCTTCAGATTAAGAGCCCTAAACTGTCAAGAGTGAACAGCCCACCCCAAGGGCCCTGTTTCTAATAGTAGTTGGCTTGATCTCTGGACCACAGGCCTGCCTTGTCAGAATCTGGGCAAAGAATCCTCAAGGACTGCAAGTGGGGAGTGAAATGAGGAGGACCCCTGGACAAAGGACAGTGCAACCGAGGCCATATTTCTGTGTTTGGCAGGATTCTGACTGTCTGGGCCTCTGTAAACACAAGCCCTTGTTTCAATTACTCATTGACCCTTCTTCAATTCTTGACTGTTCTTTAGCCATCTGGTTCTCATCTTGGGAATCCACTTCCTTCTTTTTTCTGCTCTCTGCCTTGGATTGGTTTACCACCACCTCAGGCACTGTTTCCGGACAATCTCATGGAAACCCAGGGCCTCTGATGCCTTTCATTGCATTATGTTGCTTTTTGGACTTAGCTTTCCTTACAAAACTTGTGTTTTCTTATAAAGATTCCCAAAAGGAAATATCACTTTCTTAATGCCTTCCTGCTTCAATTCTACCTTAGCGCAAAGAAAACAAAGGGTGGGAGAATTGCTATAGCAGAACTATCTCTGCCAGAGGGGAGCCATTCTTTCTCCCATACTCTCTGCATCCAGAAAGAGGGCTGGCATCCAATTCTGAGCACCTCACTCAGTGACTAGCCCAACTAGGGATGACGTGGTCAGTGCTGTCCTTTAGAAAGCAACTCTAAGAGCTGTGGGAGATGGATTGGAGGAAGAGAGGCTGTGGTCAGGGAGACAATCTATCGAAGCTACTGCAATAATCTGAGAGGTGAGACCTGAATTGAGCAGTGGGGTGGGATAAAGAGGAGCGGATAGGTAGGAAAAATAGTCATCATGGTGGGAGAATTCACACAACGAAGAAACTGACAGGTGTGGGAGATGATAGAGAAGTAAAGATGGCTAGGTTTGGACCTTGAGGAACTGGGAGGATAGTACCTTTAACAGAATGAGGAAAATGAGAAGAGTTGTTTTGAAAGGAGGGTGGAAAACAGTGACTTCTTTTGTGCATCAGAAATGCAGACATCCAAGATGACTGTCTCCATCAGGTAGCTGAATATGCAGGGCTGCACTCTGGAGATCTAGACTGCAGATAACAATTTGGGAGTTTCAGCTGGCAGAAAGTGTGAGCAGGAGGTGGGGGGAACGGGTAAAGTGAGAAGAGGCCTGAGGCCTGACCCAGGAACACCCACATGTAAGCCCCAAACAAGGGGGAGGGCTCAAAGGAAGGAGTCTGAGAAAGCGCTGAGTAAATGGGAAAAAAAACCGGGAAAGTGGTTTTTCCAGCCAAAGGAGGGGAGTTGCAGGAAGGGACGAGAAGGATACGCAGATGAGGACTGACAAGAAGCTGTTATTTTTGGCAGTTAGTTTCTGGTCACAGTAGGCCTACTCTCAGTCTCAATAGCTACCCTCACGTCCACGGAAACACTGGGACGGGGTTCTGGGTCATTTATATACTCCCCACTCGCTTTAGCGTCAGTTATCAGGGTCTCGCAGGATAATTACTTCATAAAGTTTAATATCGCTCAAAATTTCCAATAAATCCCAGTTCTCAACTTCATTTGATTGACGAAAAGGAAATTGCAAAGACGGCCAGAGGAGGCTGAAGACCGGATATGTAAAGTATAACAAACAAATATTCATGAAGTTTCACCAACTACCAACCAGGTCCGGGAAGAACCTTCCCCGACCCCGCCTACTCATGAATATGGAGATAGCGCTGCCCACCGCTCATTGCCCCGCCCTCTACTCTTCTCCCTCGCAACGGACTCTCCCCTCAAACGGGAAACAAGATGGCGGCGGCAGGTCCGAGTACTAGGGCCTCTTCCGCGGCGGCAGCGGCAGCTCTGAGTCGGCGGAGCCGGCGGGGCCGCTGTGACGAGATGGCGGCAGCCAAGACCGGGCCCCAAGGCTCGTCCTCTGGCCCCGCGCTGCTGGTGTTGCCGCAGCCGTTGCTTCAGTCACCACCGCGGCCGGAGGAGTCGGGCTGCGCCGGGTGCCTGAAGACCCCGGGGGAAGCGGCGGCCCTGCCTTGCGGCCACTCGCTGTGTCGAGGCTGCGCCCAACGCGCCGCCGACGCAGCGGGCCCGGGTTGCCCGCGCTGCCGCGCCCGCGGCCCGGGTTGGGCCCGCCGTCGGGCCCGCGACGACGGCCAGGCCAACGCGGAGGTGCTGGGCGAGCGCGCCCGCCGCGGCCAGCCGGAGCGCTGCCGCCCGCGCCGGGACGGGGGCGCGGCCGCCGCGAGGCCCAGGCCGGAGCAGGAGCCGCGCGCCGCGCCCGCGGAGCCAGGTGGAGCTTCCCCTCCCCTCCTTGGGGTCCCGAGCGAGGCCGAGCGCGCCCGGCCCGGCCTGGTTAGCGGGTGGAGGGTCCCAGGCCCTGCTGGAGCGGGTGTGGAGAGCTCCCGTGGGGTTGGAACCGGCCTCTCCCCGAGTGCATGATCTGTTTCTGAATTTGAACTTTGGGATGAAGTTCGGGCTCGGTGGATTTGGAGGGGCATTGAGGGCATCCTGCGCCTTACGTAAGTCAGAAGTTCGGGGGGACCGTGGCATTCTTGTAGCAAGTTAGGGCCAGGTGGAGGATACTGAACTTCGCGGGGCCCTGGAGGCTCAGTGCGTGGTTTAGCGTTGGGCGAAGAGCCTGGGCTCGAATTGCTTTGGGGCCTGAATGGGTCAGGGAGAGGTGTGGAGTAGCTGGAGTTTAGGGAACAAGTTGAATTTGAGGATGTGAAGGGAGCTTTTCAGTCTTGAGAGTAGGGTGGGTTGAGGGAATGAGCTCCAATGTGCAGTTTTCACAAAATCTTATAAAATGCATGTTTAGCACAGCCTAGCACATAGTGAGGCAACAATAAACGACGGGTATTTATACTTATAATAATACTGATGATACGTTCTAGTGGTGCTCAAGGAAAAAAAGCTGGACGGCGTTTGAAAGTTTGGGAAACGGAGATTGGTTGGCAGAGGCAGGATAGGTTTCCTAGCATCATCCTGGCAATGAAGTTTCCGGACGCTTGCCTTCAACTTTGCCTTTCTTACCTCCTCAGCCTGCCGCTCTTAATGCTGAGCTCGGCACCGAAAGTGCCTTGTTTAAAACACAAAACAAAACTGTTACAGCTTCATTTAGGACTCTCGGAGACACACCCAGTCAACACATCTCCAGCTTTGATAAAAAATGCTTGTCTAGGACATTTTCAAGAAACACAGTCAGGAAAGGCCAGATAGTTGCACCTCTTGTGTTGGGAATTCTGCCATGCGTTATTTGCAGTAGGGTAAAGGAAGCATTGCTTGTGTATGAAAGTGCAGTCCCTAGAAACTACAGGTTCCAGAATGCAGCTTGTCTTGACTCAAGCAGTCAGGCACCTGCCACTGCCCTAGGGTATCTTTTATTTCCGTATTTCCTCTTTTAAACTTAACAACATCCTTACGAGGTAGGTACTTTTATTTCCATTTTACAGATGAAATTGAGGCCCAGAGAGGTTAAGTAACTTGCCTAAGGATGAAAACCCAGTTCCACCTGAATCCTGTTCAGATCAGGGATGAAGGACTTCTCAGATGTCATCTAATTTGTGGATGCTGTGTGATGTTCTCATATGCTATTTGCTTTGAATTCTGAGATTATGTCCAAAAAATAAGACAGTGTTTCTCTGGTCTCCTTATTAGTACTCTTGATTATTATGGTCAGAGAGGATAGGAATTTCCTGGACTCCCTTGTGAAATATCCATTCTGAAATTTGAATCATGAGAGAGGATATGGCTTGATGATTTGTGCAAATTTTTTCCCTCGGAGAAATTTATCAAAGTGTGTTAGTGATTAAGTAACATTATATAAAACAAGATTTCAGATTAGGATCTACTGAGTCACTGAATATCCACTGAGTATACAATTACTTTATATGTTTATATGAGTACTACCACAATGAAAAAAAAGGTTCCTAAATTTTCTCGCTGTTGGATCATTAAGTGTATAATTACATACTCATTAAGTCAATGCATTATAGAAGAATATTGCTGGACAGCGCTTGGGAATTATCTTCTAGCTTCAGTGGATTGTCTGGACCCCCTTAGGGTATATATGATATATATTTTTTTTAATCCTCACCCGAGGATATTTTTCCATTTTTTGTACAGATAGAGTGGGAGGGAGAGAGAGAGAAACATCGACATGAAGGGACACATCGAGTGGCTGCCACCTGCACAACCAACCAGGGCCGGGGACAAACTGCAACCGAAGTATGTGCCTTTAGCGGGAACCGAACCCGGGTCTCTCCGGACCGCAGGCCGACGCTCTAACCGCTGAGCCAAACTGGCCAGGGCTATATGATATTTTTTAATTTAAAATTTAAATATACAATGCATTCACATAATTCAAACAATATAAGAAAGTACGCAATAAAAAGGTTCCCCCTACCCTATCTTCATTTCCCACTTCCAGCAAATATTCTTGTTTATTATTCTTTTACAGTTTTTTATGCTTATACATAAAAATTCAAATATATTTTATTCTTTTATCTTTTTTATTTTTTAATGTTTGTTACAGATGTTTCTCCTCCCCCCTCCTTGACACCCTCCTTCCAGTCCCCCCCCCCCAGCATTGTTATCTATGTCCATGGTTATGCATACATGCATATCAGTTCTGTTTATCACCTCTCCTCCCATCCCCTCTTTTATCTTTTTATATGAAAGATTATATATTATGCACACTGTTCTGTAACTTGCTTTTTTCATGTCACAATGGTGGAAATCTTTTCATATCAGTACATAGTAGGTTTCATTCTACTCACAGTTGCATGGAATTTCATTGAATAGATATAACATAGTTTACTTAACCATCTATTGGTGGAAATTAAGGTTGTTTCCAATTTTTTACCATTATAAATAATTGCTTATAAAATTTTTGTATACGTGCATATGTGCATTTTTATGGAGAGGTCACCTGTAGCTTTCACCAGATTTTCAAGTGATTGCAAAGACAAAGTTAAAGAACCATTGATTTAACTTAGGTGCCTCATTCTACAGAAGAGAGAAATGAGGACCAGAACAGAATGACCAGCTAACGGTCATTGTGAGTTAGTAGCGGATAAACAAGGGCTGAAAGGGTAACCCATTAATAAAGACTACAACAGCCTAATTCACAGTTAAGTGCTCATGATGCTTTTAATAGGGAAAATTAAAAATAGTTTCATAAATATTTATACTTTTAGGAGAGGAAACAAACAGAATTAGCAATTTCAGGTATATTTAGAAGTATTGCTTTTAATATTCTTTTGGTATAGTTATGTCAAATTGATAGAAGAAAGGTCGGGCCTGCTTTATAATGCTGCAAATGAAATTTTGTAGTAAATACACTGCTGTTTAAGTGACATTCTTACAATTTAAAAAATCTGTTGAAGCCTCTTGGCTCTTTTGGAGTTGTAGCATCTATTAAAAAAAAAAAAGGAAAAGTTTGCTCATTGAAAATTTTGGTTGTGTGGTGACATTTTTGTTTTTTTTTGCCAGCTTGTTGGCAAGCTTTAAAGTTCAGAACCTTAATGATTCCTGTGTAAAATGTTTTATTTTATTCTTATATGCATTGTCAATTTGCTTTTGGATATAGTATCAGTTGATTTTGTATCAGTGATATGTGTGAAGGCTAAGTCAGTGATTATTTTAAGATGAACCAAGACTTCAACTTTATGTTCTTTGAAGATCTGCAGAGCATTTATATATTGACATACGAAGAAGTATTTGGACCATCTTGAGCAATATCCAACAAGTATGTAATGAATGCTTACTCTGCCAGGCACTGTTCTAGGTCTTTGGGAGACATCAAGGATTGAAATAGTCAAAGATCTCTCCCTCTTGGAGCTTATATTCTAAATTTAGAGACAACCTGGTCCATTGATTTTAAAAAAAGAAAATAAAAAGAAAGAAAAGAAAATTTACCACACAGGTGTACATAGGTAAATTAGCAACTATGTACAACAGTAACACTTAGGCTCCATTGTTAATAATTAATGAATATTAAGAATTCAAATTTTAGCCTTATAATTTGAAATTATACTGCCTTTGAACTTGAAACCAAGATCTTTTTAGGACAGTTCTTTTTCTTCTACCATGGGTAATAATTAAAGAGAAAAACTAGACAAAAGATGATAAAGTTTTTAATTGGCAGTTTAACATTTTTGTCTATTTGTAGTGTAAAAAGTGCATTTCAAAAATTGAATAGATGGAAAAAAATTGAATAGTGCCTCATTTATCCCTTTCCTTTATCCTACCCCAAACTCCCTGTTCACTTTAGATTAGCATTTATACATTTAAGACATTTTCTCCTTCTGTAAATAAAACAAGTAATTCTGGTTTATTACTCAGTTGGCAGACAATGTTTGCTATGTGTGCAGCCTAAATTGCATTTAGGACTAATGAATAATGAAATCATGTGAATGTAATGTAAAAGGACAGGAATTTCCCTGGCCTGTACAGATTTGTTTTAAAATGTACAAAATGACTCAACTTTTTATCCTTAATGACACATATTCCAGAATTTGAGAGTATCCTTAGTGTTATACTAATGCAGGAAATATTTGTCATATGCTTATGTGTTTTTTAAAACTCAGAATGGGATTTACCTCACCAACTAAGCATTAATCACCATTGAAGGAATAGTTCCATTCTATAGAGTTCAGGATTGAGCAGCAGGAATTTAGGAGATATTTATTTTTGTTCATTCATATTTGTTGTCCAACTTCCAGTCAATCTTGGAAGAGTTATCTACCTTGAATTCATTTATATCTGAATTTGCTTGCATGTAGGCTATGTTTGTCAAATTTCGTTTCACTAATTCAGTGAGCATTTTGGGTCACTGTGTAAGATAATACAATAAAAAAGATGATGAATAAGATATGGTTCCTGTTTTTTAAGATTTCACAGTCTGGTTGGGGAAGCACACCTTATCAAATAACAATACAAAGTGGTAAGTGAGGTAAATGCATGATGCCAACAGAATATAGCATTAATTTTCAGCCTTTTTCATCTGGCATACACAAACTAATTACTAAAATTCTGTGGCACACCAAAAAATATATTTTTTGCTGATCTGACAAAAATATATATATAATATATAATTTTGATTCGTTCACACCAGATGGCTATTGTTGTGTTGGTTGTTTGTTGTTTTTTATTTTATTTTATTTATTTTTTATTTGACAATCTAAGGGAAAAGAGGTGAGTGCCCCTGACTAAATAGTTAGGTGTCGCATGTTTTAAACATTCTTGCAGCACACTGGTTAAAAACTGCTGGAGTGTATGAATGGAACA